GTTAGATGGGAGTTACACCAGCGAGTGGTGTGTTAGATGGGAGTTACAGCAGCGAGTGGTGTGTTAGATGGGAGTTACACCAGTGAGTGGTGTGTTAGATGGGAGTTACACCAGCGAGTGGTGTGTTAGATGGGGGTTACACCAGCGAGTGGTGTGTTAGATGGGAGTTACAGCAGCGAGTGGTGTGTTAGATGGGAGTTACAGCAGCGAGTGGTGTGTTAGATGGGAGTTACAGCAGCGAGTGGTGTGTTAGATGGGAGTTACAGCAGCGAGTGGTGTGTTAGATGGGAGTTACACCAGCGAGTNGAGGGGGAGGAGGGAGGAGGTTAGGGGAGGGTGGAGGGAGGGAGAGAATGGAAGGGGAGAAAGAGACTTCCGCAGAATGATTCAGGGAGGGGGAGATTCGCCCAGAATGTTTCAGGAAGGGTGAAACTCTCCCAGAATGATGTAAAAAAAGGGGAGACTCCCAAGGAGCACGGTGGGGAGTGGGAGACTCCCTCTGTAATCATGCAAAGAGGGGGAGGCATTCTCTGGAAGATGGAGGGGAAGGGGAAAAGTCTCCCCAGACTACTGCAGGGAGGGGCATTCTTCCCCGGACTGCTGCAGGAAGGGGCATTCTTCCCCAGACTGCTGCAGGGAGGGGCATTCTTCCCCGGAACATTGCTGGGAAGGGGCCGACCCGCTTACAGATAACGACCAACAATTATCGATTAACAACACTAACGATGACGATCCCGCCGCTCCTGCTGCGCGCCTTCCCGCATGGTTGCTGGATACAGCCAGCAGGTGGTCTGGCGCCGTCACCAGACGACGACGGCCGTTCGCATCGGGCTCGCGTGAGCTGCTCGAGCGTGACGCGCTGCCAGCAGGTCCTGCGCTGCGTCGCGGCGCCGCTGCCACGCTGCTTCACGCGTTGCTGCTCGAGACTCGCCGACTACTCCGCCGCATGTGCCCGCAGCTGATCGGCGGACTCGTCAACCTGCTGCGGGACGACGATCCAAAACCAGGATGCTGCCAGCATGAGCTTGAACGCGCCTGTCCGCGCGCTCACCAAGGTACGGGAGAGCGGAGGAGGAGGCGGGAGGAGGATGGAGGAGAGAGAGAGAGAGAGAGACAAAGAACGAGCGATAGCGTGAGAGAGCGAGAGAGAGAGCGCGCATACACGTGCATGCGAACACGTATGTGGCGTATAACGCCCCGTGTTCTCCCCTCCTGTATGTATGTGGCGTATAACGCCCCGTGTTCTCCCTCCTGTTCTTCTCGCCTGGTGTTATATGCTGTCCCTCACACAGACGCTGGACGCGGCAGAGCAGCTGCAGCACGTCACCACGCTGCGGCAAGCCGTCCGCTTTGCCATCCTCGACTTCAAGAAGGAGCTGCTTCCCGGATTCTGCCTGCCGAAGGGCCTGACACCGATCCTACCCATCTACAGGGAAGGCATCCTCAACGGTCCGCCCGAACTCAAGGAGCAAGCTTCAATCGGTGAGTCATGACCGTCATCCATCTTGTTTCAACGTCCTGTTCCGCAGGTCAGCGCGGTTACACCGCGAGTGTCGTGTTTAGATGGGAGTTACAGGCAGCAGGGTGTGTAGATGGGGGTTTTACAGTCAGGCGAGTGGTGTTTAGATGGGCGTTACACCAGCCGAGTGGTGGTGTAGATGGGAGTTACAGCAGCGCAGTGGCTGTGTGTTAGATGGGGTACAGCAGCGAGTGGTGTGTTAGTATGGCGGGTTACAGCAGCGAGTGGTGTGTTAGATGGGGTTAACACCAGCGAGTGTGTGTTAGATGGGAATTACAGCAGGGAGTGTTGTGTTAGATGGGATTACAGCCAGCGATGGCTGTGTTAGATGGGGGTTACACCAGCGTGAGTGGTGTGTTAGATGGGAGTTACACCAGCGACAGTGGTTGTTAGGTGGGAGTTACAGCAAGCGAGGGTGGTAGATGCTGGGTTACCACCAGCGAGTGGGTGTGTTAGATGGGGGTTACACCAGCGATGTGGTGTGTTAGATGGGAGTTACAGCAGGCGAGTGTGTGGTAGATGGGAGTTACATGCAGCGAGTGGCTGTGTTAGATGCGGGGTGTACACCAGCGAGTGCGTGTGTAGATGAGTTACAACCAGCGGAGTGGTGCCTGCTTAGATGGGATTACAGCAGGCGAGTGGTGTGTTAGTATGGGAGTGTACACAGCGATGGTGTGTTTAGATGGGAGTTACAGCAGCGAGTTGTGTGTTAGATGGGAGTTACCAGCGAGTGCGTGTGTTAGATGGGAGTACACCAGCGAGTGGTGTGTTAGATGGGAGTTACGACCAAGGCGATGCGTTGTGTTAGATGCGGCAGTTACAGCACGATGTGTGTATTATGATGGGAGTTACACCAGCGAGTGTGTGTTAGAATGGGAGTACACAGCGAGTGGTGTGTTAGATGGGATGTTACACCGCGATGGGGTGTTAGATGCGGAGTACAGCCAGCGAAGTGGTGTGTTAAGATGGGGTTACACAGCGAGTGGTGTAGATGGGAGTTCAGCATGCGAGTGGGGTATCAGATGGGAGTTACACAGCCCGAGTGTGTGTTAGATGGGAGTTACGGCAGCGACGTGGTGTCGTCTAGATGGGAGTTACAGCAGGCGAGTGGTTGGGTTAGAATGGGACGTTACCAGACTGCGAGTGCGTGGTAGGATGGGGGTTGTACAGCAGCGAGTCGGTGTGTTAGATGCGGGGTTACAGAGCGAGTGGCCTGTGTTTAGATGGGGTTATTACACAGCGAGTGGTGTGTTAGCATGGGAGGTTAAGCAGCGATCGTGGTTAGATGGGAGTTACACCAGCGAGTGGTGTGCTGTTAGAATGCGGAGTTACCACCAGCGAGTGGGTGTGTTAGATGGAGTTACAGCAGCGAGTGGTGTGTTAATGGGGAGTTACAGCAGCGAGGTGCTGTTAGCCATGGGGAGTTATCAGCCAGGCGAGTCCGTGTGTAGGATGGGAGTTGCAGCAGCGATGTGTGTTAGATGGGAGTTACAGCGCAGCGAGTGGTGTGTTAATGGGGGTTACACCAGCGACGCTGGTGTGTTAGATGGGAGTTACAGCAGCGAGTGGTTGTGATTAGCATGGGAGTTACAGCAGCGAGTTGTGTTAGATGCGGAGTTACGCAGCGAGTGAGTGTTAGATGCGGAGTTACATGCAGCGAGTGGTTGTTAGATGGGAGCTTACACCAGGCTAGTGGTGTGTTAGATGCGCGATTACAGCGCGAGTGTGGGTTAGATGAGTTAGCACCAGCGAGTGGTGTGTAGATGGGGTTACACCAGCGTAGTGGTGTGTTAGATGAGTTACACCAGCGAGTGGTGTGTTAGATGTGAGTTACACCAGCGTTAGTGGTGTTAGATGGGAGTTACACCAGCGAGTTGGTGGATTAGATGGGGTTACAGCCAGCGATGTGTGTGTTTAGATGGAGTTACACCAGGCGACGTGGTGGGTTAGAGGGAGTTACAGCAGCGAGTGGATGTGTTAGATAGGGGTTACAGCCCGCAGCGAGTGGTGTAGATGGGGGTTACACCAGCCGAGTGGGCTTTAGATGGGGGTTTACAGCAGCGAGTGGCTGGTGTTAGATGGGAGTGTTACACCAGATGGTGTTTAGATGGGTTACAGCAGCGAGTGGGTGGTTAGATGGAGTTACACCAGCCGAGTGACGCAGTGTGTGTTAGCATGGGAGTGTACAGCAGCGCAGTGGTGCTGTTAGATGGGAGTTTACAGCAGCGAGTGGCTGTGTTAGAGGGGTGACACCAGCAGTGTGTTTAGATGGAGTTACGAAGCAGCGGAGTGGTGTGTTAGATGGCCGATTACCACCAGCAGTGGGTTAGATGGATTTACAGCCAGCGAGTGGTGTGTTAGGATGGGGTTACAAAGCAGCGAGTGCGGTGTGTTAAGTGGGGGTTACCCAGCGAGTGGGTTTAGAGGGCTACAGCCAGCGAGTGGTGTGTTAAGATTGGGATTACACGCGAGGGTGGCGTGTGTTAGATGGAGTTACACCAGCGAGTGGTGTTTTACATGGCGAGTTTACAGCACAGAGAGCTCGTGTGTTAGATGGGAGTTACACCAGCGAGTGGTTTTGTTAGATGCGAGTTACACCAGCGAGTGGTGTGTTCAGATGGGGTTCACAGCAGCGAGGTGGTGTGTTAGAATGGGACGTTACACCAGCGAGTGGACTGTGTCTAGATGGGAGTTCACCACAGTGCGTGTGTTAGTATGGGGGTTACACCAGCGCAGTGGTGTGTAGATGGGAGTTACACCACGAATGTGTGTGTTAGATGGGCGGTTCAGCCAGCGAGCTGGTGTGTTAGATGGAGTTACAGCGAGCCGAGTGGTTTGTTTAGCATGGAGTTACAGCACGAGTGGTGTGTTAGATGGGAGCTTACACCAGCGAGCTGGTGTGTTAGATGGAGGTTACAAGCAAGCGACGGGTGTGTTAGATGGCGGGTTACAGCAGCGGAGTGGTGTAGTAGATTGGGCGTACACCAGCGACGCTGCGTCTGTCTGTAGTGGGAGTTACACCAGCGATGGCTGTGGTTAAGATTGGGAGTACAGCACGCGAGGGTGTTAGATTGGGAGTTTACACCAGCGACTGGTGTTGTTAGATGGGGGTTACACCACGAGTGTGTTGTTAGATGGGAGTTACACCAGGGGTGGTGGTTAGATGGGAGTTACAGCAGCGAGTGGTGTGTTAGCATGGGAGTTACACCACTAGTGGTTGTGTTAGCATTGGGGTGGGTTACAGCAGCGAGGTGGTGTGTTAGGATGGAGTTACACCAGCGAGTGTGTGTTTTAGAATGGGATACAGCAGCGATCGTGGTGTGTAGATGGGAGGTACAGCCAGCGAGTGGTGTGTTAGATGGGGGTGTAACACCAGCGAGTGGGTGTGTTAGATGGCGGAGACAGCCAGCGAGTGTGCTGTTAATGGGATTACAGCAGCGCGATTGTGCTTAGATGGAGTACAGCCAGCGATTGGATGTGGTAGCATGATTACAGCAGCGAGTGGTGTGTTAGAGGATTACACCAGCCGAATGGTGTTAGCATGGGAGTACAGCAGCGATGGTGTGTGTAGATGGGAGTTTACACCAGCGAGTGGTGTGTTAGATGGGGGTTACACCAGCCGAGCATGGGTGTGTAGATGGCAGTTACACAAGCGACGTGTGCTGTTAGATTTGGATACAGCAGCGAGTGCGGTTGTGTTAGATGGGACTTACACCAAAAGCGGATGGATGTGTAGATTGGAGTACACCAGCGAGGGGGTGTTAGATGGGATTACACCAGCGAGTCGGGCTTAGATGGGAGTACACCAAGGCAAACGAGTGGTGGCTTGATGGAAGTTACACCAGGAGTGTGGGTTAGATGGGATTACAAGCAGCGAAGTGGTGTGTTAGATGGGGTTACGCAGCGAGTGGTGTGTTAATGGGGTTACACCACGAAGTAGTGTTTTAGATGGGGGTACAGCACGAGTGTGTGTTAGATGGGGGTTACACCAGGAGTGGTGTGTTTAGATGGGAGTTACACCAGCGAGTGGTGTGTTAGATGGGAATATTGGTGATGTTCGACGTCCCTCATGAAGGTGAATTATAATAATACATAGAATAATAATAAAAAATAATAATATCGAAACGTATGTGTAGAGGACAAGAAGATTGTGGATTTTGTGGTAAAAGCACCAGAATTGGTGTATACGATGACGTGATTTTGAGTATTATTTTGTATGTAATGATATTTTTATGTTTTATACGTTTAATAAATACTATGTGACTAAATAAATAAATAAAATACGACTAAATTAACAAATTAAAAACTTAACTAATTAATTAAATTTGATTAATTAATCCCCCGTGCAGGTCTCGGTGAGGTGATCAAGCTGACGAGTCCTGAAGCCCTGAAGCCCTCCGTCGTTAACATCACCGGTCCTCTCATCCGCATCCTCGGCGATCGCTTCAGCGCCAACGTCAAGGTCTCCGTGCTGGACACGCTCGGATTGCTGCTGGGGAAGGTACGCGGGAGAGAAGGAGGGGGAGAAGGGGGAGATAGGGAGGAGACGTGCAGAAAGGACACGGACAGCGAGAGAGAGAACTTGCAGACAGACATATCAGAACAGGAATGAGGAGAGACAGACGGAGAGACATACAGACAGGGAGAGAGAGAGACGTGCAGACAGACAGACAGACACGTGAGACGAGAGAGATATGACAGAGCGTTTCATTACATATTACAGTTATATTATTATATTGCATTTCATTATATAATATAATTCTAACTTATCGTCACCGCGACGCCTTTCCCGGATCACTAACACCGTTGTCGCGTTTCGTTCGGCAGGTGGGCGCCATGTTGAAGCCGTTCCTGCCACAGCTGCAGACGACCTTCATCAAGGCACTGAACGACCCGAGCCGGCTCGTGCGTCTGCACGCTGCCAACGCGCTCGGCAAGCTCATCCTCATCCACCCGCGCGTCGACCCGCTCGTCACCGAGCTCAGCACCGCCGTACGCACGGCAGACGACTCGGGCATCAGGTGACCGGTGCCGCCATCTACGGGCGCGATTCGTAGGGATTTTATTGCGAGAAATTTTGGGGTTTTAGTTGGGAAGTAGGAGAGTTAGTTAGTTACAAAGAAGGAATCTTTATTGGGAAGAAGGAATGTTGTTTAGGGAGTGGGAAGTTTAATTAGGAAGCAGGACCTCTTTAGAAGGGGTCTAATGGTGGGAAATTCAATGGAGAATGCACGACTGCAAAACATCCTAAGCCAAGGAAACCAAAACATCAAGGAACTATAGGAAATCGGGGTCAGATGCCCACTGAATACCAGTTGGGAGAGCGCGCACATGCACCAGTTTACTTTTGCGCTTATTACCGTGTTTCCGTGCTGCCTGTGTTACCGTGGTCACCGGGAGGTGTGTGCGTGAGCTGACCGGCTCTTGTTGCCATGGTTACAGGGAGACGACGCTGCAGGCGCTGCGTGACGTGATAGGTGGCGCCGGCGAGCGGCTCAGCGACGGCATCAAGAATGGTCTGCTGTCATTGCTCGTCGCCTACCTGCCGCACCCAGAGGACACCACCCGCATGTCCGCCGCCGGCTGCCTCGGCGCCCTCTGCAGGCACCTGCCGGAAGTTGAGCTCCAGGCTCTACTAATAGAGCAGCTGCTGGGTGAGTGACGTGGTCCAGGCTCTACTAATAGAGCAGCTGTCCAGGCTCTACTAAAGAGCAGCTGCTCTGTGAGTGACGTGGTCCAGGCTCTACTAATAGATCAGCTGCTCTGGGCTCTACTAATAGATCAGCTGCTCTGTGAGT